CACAGGATAGAGCAGGGTTTAGGGCTGTTGTACATAGGGTCGCTATGAGTCGCAAATGACTCGACGGCACATAACAACAAACAACAACAACAACAAGCTTTTAAGATCTCAACTGGTGCTCACCTGGACAGGATGAAGAGCACGGTCTTTGTCAACAGTGACAATTGACATCTATGTCTCTGGAGTCTTTGGTTCTGAGATTGGAGGAACAGCAACTCATTCACTCAGGGTGTTTGATTACGATTAATAATTTATTTGTAATACTCATTCCTCTGGTTTTTTCTCCCTTGCTGCTCTTGATGGTTTGTTTATAGAAATGGTGGTGGTGGTGATGGTGGGGTATTTCAGTGAACCAGACCCCTTAGTGTTCTGAAGGAGAGACTTATGCTGACAACAATTTATATAATGTAATCTATTTTGCATTTCATTTCCATTGAAGATATTCATACTTACATATTCCTATGCACAAAGGTATGGAATCAAAAGCCATTCTCTGGGAATGTTTGGGTTGTTAATCCCTCTTGGATTTCCTCACCATTCTCAAAGGCAGTTTCTGGCACCAAGGGAAAATGGAGATGTTGAGATGCAATTTTATCTCCCAATTGAACTTGATTAAATGGAGACTGTTCTAATCAAAAGTTTGAATCCTGGGGGAATGCAATGTTGTTAACAGGTTTGAGAATATTTGAGAAGCACAGGGAAAAAGTATATGGAACTTAAGGCAGGGAAAGAATCAAGCAAGAAAATAATTGTAGTAAAGCTTATTAAGGCATAAAATTAGGTGAACAAATTGCTTCACAGATAGTGTTAGGCTTAAATGCTAGACTGGCAAAGGAAATGGAAGAAAGCTCTTTGAAAACATTATTTTTATTATTTTAATAATTTGTGTAGGAATCATAGTAGCTGCAATCTGTTAGCCAGAAACAATTGCCAGCTGGTGTCATCGTGGAGTAACTGTAGCAGACTGAGTGCAAACATGTTGTTTCCTTTTTACCTGGATAGCATTCAATTTTAGAAAGTGTCTCTTCATTTTTGCCTGAATGTGAGGTCTGCCCTGGTAGATAAGGGAGCCTATTTATTGCATTGATTTAAGAGCCTTGATTTGGTTCACACTAAATTCCTCAACTGTAATAGGGACACTACACCTGAGACAGAGGGTGTTTACATAACCGAAGTTGCTGGTGATTATAAATGCATGATTGAGCACATGTGGCTGACTTATGTGTGAAGTTGCCTTAATTCTATGCATTGCTTTTCCTGTGGTTACTTCAAGGAAATAGTAGAACTCCATTAGATATTGTGCTGGGTACAAAAATAGGTTATCTGGGATAATGTCCTATGAAAAGGGTTAAAAGGGCATTAATTTAAGTGACCTCATTTTATTAGCAAAACAGCTGTAGGACATACTCATACTCCGGCCCCTCCAAAAAAAACCTCTGCTAAATGATTTGTTAACAAGGAGATGAATATTTTAAGATTATCACTGTCATTCCTCTGTTTATCTGGAAACTCACAGGGTAGGTGCCAAAATACTGCGGGATCTAGAGATTGCTCAGCTTTGCCTAGAAAACCAGAGGAAGAGGACAGAAGTTGGGGTTCCATTGTCTGTTCTTGCCTCTTGACTAAAAGGGCCTCAAGAGAGGTGAGAGGAAACAATGGGCCTGTTTTTGATGTTCACTGGATTTCTTCAAGGGTGATGTGAACGCATCTCAGGAATATCAGGGGTTTCTAATCTTGGCTCTATTCCATTTAACTTTTCTTAGTTTAGTTTGTTTGTCTTTGAAATGGGCTGTTATACTTGCCCTATGCCCTTACAGTATTTATTCTGAGGAGCAAATAGGATAAAACAGAGGGAAATAAACCTTCCACCATACAAATGACCACTTGTACTAAGGTTATCTATTTGAATAGGTAAGAAGGTTATAGCTATTCAAGCACTGTCACCTGATTTTGTAGAAAATGAGACATTTCTCAAGTAAGGCAACATAAGAGGTATAATAATTTTTTCACTCAGCTAACTCAAAAGTTGTCTTTTTGTTATTGCTACTTGATGCTTTCAGGAAATTAGTGTTGAGCTGGCTTTATTTCTTTTTAAAGTAGTGCTGTACCATTTAAATAAGATTTCAAATGAGGGAAATGGGGAGGAATCACACAAGCTTTTAAGAAGCTGATGTGTCCTATCTAGGCTCAGAAAGTATCAAGAAGGTCACTGTTTTATAGCTGTTTATGGAACTGAAAACAGGACAAAGGAAGTAACATGGAGTGGAGGAAGTTTGTTGGGAAGAATTACATTTGTCCGGAACAGTAAAATTAACTTTCTAGGGGCAAGATTTAGCATCCAGGAAAGAAACCTGGCTCTTAACTGATGACTGTGAAAGAGAGAGTGTGATGAATGGTAGGGATCAGGAGACTGTCTCAGGAAGACACTCATACTGCATGGGTCCACAGAGTGGCCAGGTGGGAAGGCTGACCACTACTAGGGTGTGAACCCAAGGAGCGGTGGGGCGACTGGCACATCCTGTTCTCCTCCGTCCTGCCCATGCTGCTACCCTTCACTTGCAAAAACAGATCAAAGTCAGATATTTTAGGGATCAAACTACAACTTGAGGAATTATCTAAAAAAATAAAAATTGTTCCTAAACAAATACGCAGTTCTCTCGTCAATGCAAAAGTTAGATTTTTTTTTTTTTTTTTAAGTTTTCTGCCCACCAGTCTGAGTCCACTCTTTAGTGGGACAAAGATGAGGCGTTTCCTCCAGTGAGGACTCCTCTCAGAGGCCGTTAGACGGTCCACGAGGCCAGGACGACACCATGACAGGAGTTGTGTTCTGATTATGATTTTCTAAACTATCCGCACACAAACAGGCCTTTCTTTAACTTAGGAAAAGATTTCATAAAAAAGAATTTTTTTTTTCATCAAAAGGAGATGTTCCACACTGAGGAGAGACGGTGAATCTCACCCACGTGGAAGCTCAGTGGGTGCTTCTGAGTTGGAACCAACGCACAGCTGACCCTACAGCGGGTTTCCAGAGGCGATAAATCGCAAGGGAGGAGACTGCCTAGTCTCCTTTGGAGCAGCTGGTGGATTCGAACTGACAGTTTTGGAATTGCAGCGCAGCTTCTTACCACTAGGCTATCAGGGCGCCTTAAATGACTATTAGTAAAAGAAATTTTAGGAGATGACTCCCTAAACTTCTTCAGCCTTCTAAATACTGCCCGGTTGTCTGCCTAGTGCTGGAAGGACGCATTAAATAATTACTACGATCGCGTAGTAGGCACTTAGTGGGGAACTGATGGCTGGTAGAATAAAGTTGTAGAGTTGGGCACATCAAGTTTCTGGTTTAGAAAATACAGAAAAAACATACCTCCCCCCACCACACACACACACACACACACACACACAATCTTGAGTGCTATTGAATATGCCTTGGGCAGAAATTAAAAGCAGTCGGTAGCTAATTACCCCTGCAGAGGAGGGCCCAGCCAACTTGTGGGAAGATGGTCTCCGTGGTCCCCAGGTGCGCAGGTGTTCCCTCTGCAAAAGAAGCCAGAATCTTGTCCACTTGCAGACAGAAAAACCTGCCTGTTTGGAGGGTTCGGATCAGCGCCAGCGACTCTCCCCTCAAGGCCCGTGGTCACCCACCTCCGCCTTCATCCCGAATCCCCTCTGGCTCCCGACTGCAGGGATCCCCCGCCCCCCTAGCCCCCAGCCCTCCTCCGAGCCCCGCGGAGCGGCCGACTCCTCCCCTGGAAACTCCTCCGGGACTGGAGAAGGATTTGGCGCATGCTCCGTACCTAGGGCAGGTTTTTGCTGCGGGTAGCCGGGCTCCTGTCACACCGGCTGGCGGGTTGTGGCGGCGCCAGCCTGTGTGCGCCAGTGTGTCCGCGTGCCTGCGCCTGGGCGGACGGTCCCGGGGCGCCGGTGCCACTCGACCGGAGAGGCGGCTCCGC